TTGTAGCTTTTTTGATATCACATTAATAGGTGTATGAATGTTATCTGGTCATGTATTCATATATTACTTGGCCAAGGGGGGACAATAAACAAAACAATGTTTTTGATATGAATGTATACTTGCTATAGATATTTATATATATTTATACATCTATGGCTTACTAGATTTATATTTCATATAAATATAGATATACATATTGTATACTTCAAAGATATTAAATTGAGTATACTACCCTCAAGTGTTGGTACACTGCTATTTAAGTTTTATTTTGAGTTGAATTACTGCCATCAAATTCTATTCTCCATATGATTTCATAATATATATATTTTGTTATGATTGTCTTTGACTTTGCTATGTTATTTTCATGAGTGAAGACTCAGAATCTCATTCAGTGCGAGACACCAATGAGTTGTAGTTCTTGGAGCTTTTTTATTTATTCTTTCCCTTTGTTTTATTTTGGTTGGTTTTATTTTTTTGTTTTATACTGGGTTTTTTTGTTTTGTTTTTTTGTTCTTTGGTTAAATACCATGTGATGAGATTTTCTTGTAAATTACATTAAACTTGAGTATCTATTCACATTTTCTATATCATTAATTTCAATTTCTGTTTTAATGATGTATTGCATCATATAATGGATATATTTTCTAAATTTACAAATATTTTTTATAAGCAATATCTTTTGTTTTCTCCACTGTTTTAAAATTAAGTAAGGTAAAGAAATACAAATTTAGCTTTTGTGCTCTGAAATAAATTAAATCATTATAATAAAATCCTTTATGCTATGCATGATGCTGATATTCTAAATAACTCTAATAACATCACAGGGTATACATTCCAGTAGTATTAATTGTCAAATTTTTTTTTTTTTTATTTCATTTTGTTTTTTATTTTTATACCTGCATTGTATCTTTCATTGTTTAAATCAACCATTTTTGTTTTTGACTAGATCTATCTATAGGAAAAAACAAATTGAACTAGTAGTTGTGAATATAAATCACTCTGACCAGCAAGATTTCTCATGTGGCAATGTGAGGAATTAAGTAATAAAATTGTTAAATACCCTTTCAGACTAAGTGATTTGATAATAATAATTTACAGGGGCAAATGTTAAGCTCATCTGTTTCTATGGCTGAAGGTTAACAAGCGTGTCATGTGGCTAGGCTAGTACACCAACCAACCTCCTTTTTCTTACTTGCTCTAATCTCAGGTTTGTGACTTAGAACAGACTTGAATATATCTCAATGTCTATGTAAAAAGTATGTGTGATAGGTAGTAGCACTGATCACTCCACACATCTATGTTAACCACAAAGACATCATCTGTCCTGTGGACCAATAAATTTCAATAAACTTGTCCTCTAGTGATTGTAAGTAAACACTTTTTTTTAGGAATGTCTTCATGTCTGGCTGAAAAGTGAAGATCCTTCGAAATTTTATTTGGACATTCCTGCTTAGTATCTTTAATATTAGTAATTAAATTGAATGAAACCTATTTAGGTGTGACGATGTTAGTTTCATATGCACAAATTAGCTTCTGTTTTTTTTAATATTCTGGGGGGAAAGGAGGGGGGGGGGGGGAATTAAAGCTGAATTTAAAGTATTGAAGTATAAATATAAAAGAAAAGATTTTGTACAACTTTGTTCTCTCATTACCCCCCCCCCCCCCCCCCCCCCCCCCCCCCGGCCCACTTCCAAAAAAAAAAAAAGATGTGTATGATACTGTGCTAATAATCTTTTTTGTTTGTCTACTTTTCATAGCTTTTCACTAGTTACTAACTACTATTATGCAATGACTCTAAAGTTCATTTATTATAATGAGCTAGAGTATTTTAGCTTAATATGTTGGGGCACCACTAATAATATGTTGACCGGTTCCTCCATTCCTCTTTTTTTTTTTTGTTTTGGCCAGCCATTGACCAACATATAAAATGTGACTAAAACAAAACCTACTGTAGTTTTAGTTTAACTTCTATGTTCTTCATTAGTTAAAACATCTTGTCACTCGTGTCACATACAGTCTTGAATCAAATTTGACTTAGATTTAGGATGTCTATAATTGTAGATACATATACAGAACTCTCTCTCTCTATAAAACATGGACTTGATCCAATTTTGTTAATCTTTTATATGTCCCTCATGCAAAAAAAAAATGTGTAAATAATAAACATTATGTAAATTAGTGTGCCCTTGTACTGCATACATCTGTGTTGTGTGCTACACTCTGTCTATGCTACACTTGAGGCCATTGCTTTGACACCAGTTCCTTTATTCTGTTATATTCACTGTTTAAACTGTTGCAATATTTGTGTAATGTCTTTTCAAATACTTAATCTATGTTGCTGTGGGTTTTACTATTGATATTTTTCAAAATATATTATAATAGTATATAAACTATTGTTACCTTCAGGACAAATATGTATTGTCTATTGTGGTTGGCTGGCTGTTTATGTAGTATGCTGTTTCAATGGTCCAGCGCTCATATCCCTGCCATCATCATGCGGGAAGTTTGGACTAGGAAGTAAATTATCTTCCTCTCTGAAGGAACATACTAAACATGTCAGACATTTGACCAACATTTTTACAATTTAGTGATAGAAACTTAAAAAACTCTTTCGATAAAATTTTCAGCACTAGCTTTCTCCATAGTTTACATATTGTCTACTAAGCGCAAGATTGGCACCTCCTTCCATAATGTGTAAGCAGTCCCTTTTGTTTCATTGTTGAACATTCAAGTCTTTACTGACAAAACTCACATGAACTAAAATTTCCAAATAGTTTTCCACTGCTCTGAGACTCCTGGCTTAGAAATTCAAAACCCTTCTTACATTGGACATCATACACTTAGTATTTGATCATGTTACCTTTTTTTAAGGTGACTTATTTTTTTTGTAATGTGTAAAATAATATTTGAAGGCAAGAAACACAAAAAATGAATATCTAAAAAATAATATGGTAAAATTTTCTCAGGAAATTTGGCAACAATGATCTCTGAAGGGACCATATACCGTATTCTCACACATATACCCTGCATGTGCAGATAACCCACACAAATATTACAAAATAAGTAAAAATAAAATTTTACGTGCACATTTTGACATTACTGATATCATCAAATTAGTAAATTAGTTTACTTACTTGCTTACTTCTCCTTATTGATTAGTGGTATATTAAAGATTCTCTGCAGCATGGGCACTATTTGTTTTCTTGAGGTTTATAATGAAATGTTCATAAAGCTTTTCAATGTAAATTTCACAATCACACAGTGAACTATAGGAGTTACAAAGTCCCACTGGTATGTCCATAATTTTCCTTCACCTTGTCATATTCCTCTTAAATCTTTCTTAGAAAAGTTGATACAAGCTTGCAGTGCCTTTCCCTGTAACAATGTGTAAAGATGACTTCCCCCCTGAGTTTTAGGGTATTTCTGTAGCTTGAGCATGCACTTCAAATCTCGCCAAATATGCATCCATTTGATCCACGTTCTCATTGAAAGGTGGCAACTTTGGTTTCCATACAGGTTTTATATGCTCTTTGATTTCTCCTTTCGTCTCCCTAAGCTCCAACTCTCTGACTCTCAATTTGTGTATTTCTACATCAGCTTCTTTCTCTTCAGCTCTTGCTTCTGCCTCTTTAGCTCTCTCCACCACCTCTCTTTCTTTAGCTCATTTCACCGTCTCTCTTTCTTTAGCTCTTTCTTCTGCCTCTTTCTGCCTATTGTCTTCAAAGACTAAGTTAAGTAACTAGATAAACGAGCCTCCAAATATGTCACAGCTTTCCTATTATATTTATAATTATAACTCGATAAAATCTACCTTAGGTTTCGTTACGTCTAGGTGTCCCTGGTTCAGTTCTAGTTAACGAAATAAAACAATTTTAACCACTAGATCAAACACATAAACTTTAATCAGCTTTACTGCATATCACACACACTGGTCTCAACACACTTCCGGTCATTCGCCCAGATTGTAAAAATAGATTATACATACATACACACATTCATCTGTGACACTATGTTTATGAGTAAAATAAATTTTGAAACCCCGCACCTTTGTTACCCTTTACAGCTTCCATTTGTTTTTAAAACTTGTTTAATCCACAGTTTATATGCATGAAAATATGGTACTCATAGACCATAGATGATAGTGTAGTTTGTAAATGGCGATACTAGTTTACTGGCTGTATACAGGGAAAAAAAGCCCATTTCTTGTAAGAGTTTATATTGGAATACAAATCAGATTTGTCAGGTAATCTTGAATCAGACCAAATATGTTTGTTGAACTCTGTACATAAAATATTTTTGATATTGTACATGTTATGCCATGCCTCTGACCTTTTTTACACACACACTAAAACAAATAAACATAAAATAGGTGGACCTACCAGTTTGTTAAGTGTAATATTGTTTTGAATATTATGGGTGAATATTTTCCATTCCTTTTATGGAATTTCTGTTCTATTCAGTGTACAGAAAAAGCATTGATAGCTAAGTATTTTAAAAAGCATACCATAATTTATCCATTTTTTATCACTGCACTTAATTTATAAGCTCTTCTGCTTGTAGAATGTAGTTAGTATTTAGTTGGCAGCAGTGATTTTTCATATAGTTTTGTTAACATTGTCACATGTGTCATTCTCAACATTTTTCCTTATCCTAACATTTTTCTTATTATTCCATTCTATCATTCTCCCATTTCTCTGTATTGTTTTCTTGCCTTTTTCTCTTTGACAATATTTGATTTATTGAAGAACTGGAAACGGATCATAAAATTATACAAATTGTCATAGAAGATAAGACTTTTTTTATAACCACTTTTTTTTTTTCTTCATTTTCTAATTAAAATTGTACATAGAGCCTTTTAGAATATTTTTATTGCTGTAGAGATCTTGAATTATATAGATTTAAATATTTTGTGTTTGAGGAGTATTGGTTCTGTGTTAATTTTTGTTTGCAACAGTAATAATTTTGTTTAAAGTACATGCTTGTATAGGTTTCTGTAACATTAATGATTGAAGAGGACTGTTTGCTAGTGTGAGCTATTTCAGTGCAATGTTTTATTTATTTTTTTTTTTAGTCTAACAAGAAAAATAGTTTTGTAACCCAAGCACAAAGATGTCACCGTGTGTCTGCTAGGCTTGTGTGAGGCAACAATTAAAATATATATTACAAATGTTTCTGAATGTCTGTGGTTCTCAATTATGCCTTAGTACAAATGTTCTTTAAAGCATATCATGTGATTGGTTTGGTATGTTTTTGAAGTCACAATAAATCAAAAGATAGAAAAATGTTTGTGTGTCTATATATATATATATATTTTTTTTTTATTTTTTTTTGACAGCAACTTTTATCACAGGTAGACATTAAAGTTCCCAAATCTCTGTACGATCCTTTATTTCTAGTAGTCAGTAGCCTTTTAAAAAAATGAATGGTGAAGTTACAGTAAAAGTAGTATAAACCTATACCCAAGTGTTATGATACAATGTTTTAAAGGCACAACATGGCCTAAATTGTGCCAATGTGCTTAAAAAAACAAAATATCCATGTTATTAAAAAAAAATTTTTTTTCAGGAATTCTATCTGGTCATGACTATTAACTTTGAAAAGTTTCAGCCCTATTCTAAAGAACTCTGTTCCAGTAGAGGGATATATCTTCATTGTTTAGATAATGGTCAAATGTTTAAAGTTTTCTAACTTAACATCTGAGTTTGAATCCCTTTATAACTGGGCATTTTTTATTCAGGTTTTTAGAATTCACAGTATACAACCAGCTTGTTTTAAAGTAAAGATGGCTGGCATTTTGTTTTGACTACATTCTATTTCACGGTTATCAATCAGAACAAATTAACATCATCTAATGGTCAAAAAGGAAACTGTAACACTGAAAATGTAACACCAACTAGATACCTGAAAGTTTTATTTTTAGTAGGGTCAGCAAACAACTTTTTTTCAGTATATATTTTTTTTTTACTTAATTCATAGTGCTAAAAATCCAAACACCAATTTTAGTATTACGGAAATATGTTTTGAATCTATAAAATTGTTTGAGAAAAAGGAAACATTCAGTTGTACGAATTGGTAATTCCTATAAGAATAACAAAAAAATCTAATTTATCCAGTATAGAGACGTTTGAACACGACATGATAGTGCGGTTTAGCTTGTTTATGTTGGTATCATCAAGTTGGTGTTAGGACTTCAAGTGACATCATAAAACCGATAGAGACTGGAGACTTGACAGTGGCCTTATATTTAAAATCATTCAAGTGTCTATCAGTCTCCTCTTTTCAACTTGTTAATGCGTCCGTACCTTACTCAGTCAGACTATTTCAACACCATTAGTTGATTAGGAAACATAAAATGGACCAAGATGCCTGTGTGTAGTCGCTGAATAAACTCTTTATGTTTCTGTTGTGTTGTCTTTATATGAGAAAAAGAGTCCTTGAAATCACAACAAATTTTCATAAGGATCAATAAAGCAGTCTTAGTGTTAGTACTACACTAGTTTAAACACATCTAATACACCTGTACAAGAAAACATTTTCTGAGTAATCTGTCAAAGTCAGAGAGCCATCATAAAACTACAAGATCAAGGCCTATCACAGTCCTCTAACACTAAAATCAAGTTAATAAGCTTGACTATTGGTCAAAGAGGATGTAAATGACTTCCTGAAGACATTGACTCAAAGCTGTCCAGCTTCCATGTCAGTGAAAGTGAGTTGTCTGAAATTCTTTTAGACTTTGTACATCAAAAAGCACTTACTAGGCCACACTCTGGGCCATATCAGCTGCTCAATACTTAAAAAGAGTCGCATACTTTCAGAAGGAAACATTTGGACAAAGAACAGTTAATTTGTCTTTCCCCACACCTTTTCAAAAATCTAATTAGCCTCCACTTTGAACCATGGGTCACAGTGTGTAAAGATAGAACAATCTTTTGTAGAGCTTAGAAATTGTTATTTTGATTGACAATAAAAGTGATCTTTCACCAATGAAAGAAACCTCAAGTCATTAGATAAACTAACTACAGTAGCATAAACCATTCATTTTCTAGCAACTCTAAAACTTTGATTTTGTACAGTCAACTGATAGGACAAGGGAAATAACCAGCAATGACAGTGAACCATATAGAGCCAAAAGTAATTGTGAGCTTCTATCTGTAATTGGCTGGGATACAACACATAGTAGACAGGAACATATGCAAGTGGTAAAAAAATACAACTGATTCAGTTGAAATAAGCAGACCATTTTCTGTGCAAAGGGTTTGTAAGTTTATTTTGTGATACAGATCATTGTATGTAATTTGGTAGAAACATAAGTAAGTATAGATTAGCAGTCATAAAAAAAAACAAAAAACTTCAAGTTGGTAGAGCTTTTGCTGAGACTACTTTTTATAAACTGTCTATTATAAGAGTGTAGCAGTGCCTGATGTTGACATGCTGTTAGGTCTAGGAAAGAAGTCAAGGAATGTATTTAATTAATGAGAGATAAAAATACAAGATACAAATAGAATATATCATTTGAAAAGCAGTTTTTTCCTAAACCAATTGATAAAGTTGCAATGTATGGTTGTTATTTTTAAATTTCATAGTATGTATTGATAAACATGATGAGTGTTGATACAATACAAAAGTAGGGGTTAGCATAAAATTGTGTCATTTGTTTAAATATAGAGAATATTATTATACCAGAGAACTATAAAGTGAACACAAACAAATGTTATGTTGTTGTTAGAAATGTGTGTAAGTATTCTGTTTAGCTCTGCTGATGATTACTATTCAGATACAACTATATAAAAATGCCTGTTGCTTAGTTCTGCAAGTTGAATGGCTTATTACTGTTTATTTTATTGTCACATGATGAAGGGAGACAACATTTTATATTCTGTAACTCTGGAAATCAGTTACTTGCACAATGTGATAAATCATAAAAATCTGTTAACATATTTTAAAGTTTTAAAAAATAATTTTGATAATTAAATATCTATCAACATTTTGTTGATAGTTTCTTTATGATAAATTATTTACATATACATCTGTTAATCTTTTTTTATTGCTTAGATTTTCTTACATATTTAAAGTGGTTTGTTTTCATTCTCTAGTACTGTTGTATTTTTGGAAGCCTTCAGGGAATTCATGGACTATAAGTCTAACATTAAAAACAAAATAAATATCAAACAAATTTCTAAGACATGCAAGTTATCCTAGATTTCTAAATCAATCACAATAGAAAAGTGCTGCTGTCACATTTATGTTTCCAATTAGTTTTCTTCTGTTTTAAAGTTCTTAGGGTTTAATGAGTCATGATAAAACATATAGGCTTTTATAGCAATGATTTTTTAGACATGTTTACAAGATCTAATACCTCCAGAATAGATTCTAACCTAACAATCGTAACTCTGCATTAAGTATATTTTGATTACATCAAATGAATCACATCATTGAAATTGAAGCTTCACTTAAACACTGAAAGGAAATGTCAAAAACTTTGAACACCCTTTTCAATAATTGTACAATGTCAAACAAAATGTCTATACTGGTTTTAACCCATTCACTCCTATTTCCAATTAAAGAAAAACTAACTTTTATCAAAAGAAGACGACTCTAAAATAATTATTGTTATAATACACACAAAAAATAATTTTTTACTGAACAATAAATCTAGTTCCAAAAAATGTTTACTTTCAATAACATTAGAACAGAGAAATGAATCCTCATAAACAAACAATATTGTAGGTGGACCTCATACAATATTCGCTTTTTTTTTTTTTTTGTTAACTTTGTAATAAAAAATCGAAAGATCTAGATCTATAAACAACTAAAGAAAAATGTATTTAAGTGTGTTATCTGTTTGTTCTGCATGAGGCAGGAAGAGCTCTTCTTATACTAAAGTAAAACAAAAGCTCTGATGGTATCTTCCTGCTGTAATGAACCATATAAGGAGATAACTTTGAACACTGCATTCTAGTTTCTACATTCTACTGCCATAGGGGTGAATGGGTTAATTAGCTTAACAAACAGCTCAATGGTACAACTAATGGGCAATGCATTTAACTTTTACATCTTCAAACATGCATTCATCCATAAATGGTAAAAAAAAAACTACAGATTTAAAAAACTGATTAAGGATGAAACAAAAAAATTGGCAAGTTTTCTAAAATGTATGATCAAACTACAAACTGACAAAGAGGACTCACTAATTTTGATATTAGGCAAGAGATTTAGTGACTAACGATGTGCACAGAACAGAAGTTGAATGCTGTTATATCTATACAAGCATATATTGAACCACAGTGAACATGTATAATCCATATATATAAACATATATATTGAACCACAAAGAACATGTATAATCCATATATAAAAATTATTATTTGCATATCTCATGTTTACACCAATATGTCTTTGGAACTAATTTGCAGGAAGTGACATCACACTTCTGCTCCTTAATTCACAAAGGATGTTAGGCACTGAATGAAACAAACTTCTAATAAGGATAACTGACAAATAAATGTTAGTAACATAATCAGGTTTTGCATACATTGAAGTATAAAAGTCTAAATCAATACAGCTGTCTATATAATCATTCTTGATAAAATCCTTAAAAAAATAAAAGTACAAATTTTTTTTTTACATAAAAAATAATTTGAATAGATAGTAAAGATTTAAGAAAACATAGTAACACAATGAGCTGGTTTACTTCAAATACATGAGATGTCAAAAAGAGAACAAATGAATCATATAATTCAAACTTCTAGAAAGACTTTGCCTTAACTCAACTTACACGATTGTTTTAAGTTGTATTTAAGTGTCTGACATGTTTTCAAAGTATTACTTCAGAAGATGATGACAAGCAGAATTCAAACCATAGCACCATCATGACAATAGTCTGAATGACATATCTTATGATCAACATCACTAACCTATTTTAGAGCATAAACGTGACCTAAAGTTTCGTTACTGATAGTCACAGAAAAACTTAGATGACCTAAAATAAGGTCAGAACTCAGGAACCACAAACTTTTTTTAAAAAGTAACAAATTATAAAAAATAAAAGTATTACAAAATATCATTATACAGCCTTATTGAGCTTACCAACCAATCAAGTAAAAAAACATGGATTGATAATTAAAATGTAACCAATGAGCCAGAGAAAGTGGAATAATAAAATGATTGGTTGAACATCAACAGCAACTATACACATGGGTGAGGTGTGAGAAGCAATAAATAATGTGAACATCAACAATGAACGTCCTCAACAGGAGAGCTCTACAACAAAGAACAGTAAATAA